TGAGGCTTCCCTTCCCCCTGAGCTACCAGTCATATGGCAGGTTTAGTATAGAATAAAGTTTATTTAGAGCATGGGAAGGGGAATTGAGAAGTGATGAGAAGGGAGGAGAGGCAGAGAAAAATGAGAGGGGGGATTTAACATGAAATGACAGATAAAGGAAAGCCTGGATTTTTTTCTCTAAAATTAATATTGTAGTCTAGACAGAAAATTTTAGAGAGACACAAGTTTTCAACATCATAGAATATGCAATTTAGGAGAAATTAATACTTAAATCTAAAAAGTATTTCTAATTGTATCCTATAGGGTGAAGAGTAAATAATTTCTACTTCTTTTCAGATTCTAGTTTTACATCCAAAGTACCTCAACCAGAAATGTCAGGGCACCTGGAAGCCAAGAGCTGGGACTACACACAGAACAGAGATCATGACTTCTGCTACAGGTGGATCATTAGCAACTTCTCTTTTTCGGTTGAGGGAATGGGGGAATATATTACAAGTCCAGTGTTCTCATCAGAGGCCAATGATGAAGTGGTATGGTGTTTGAGAGTATACCCAAATGGGATTGATGAAGAAAGCAAGGGCTACCTGTCACTTTACATGACACTGCTCAGCTGTAAAAAGAGCCCAATTTTGGCAAAGTTTCACTTTTGTATCTTAAATGCAAATGGGGGAAAAAGCAATAATGCAAGGAGCCCAGGAGTCTGTAGTTTACTGCCGTACCAAGAATATGGATTCAAAAAGTTCATTCATCGAGGTTTCCTCTTGGCTCAAACCAATTCACTATTACTGGATGACAGACTTACCCTCATCTGCAAAGTGAGAGTGCAAAAACATTCCTTAAGCATTTCTGGACAGGACACAAGACCTGCAATCAATATTCCAAGGTGCACATTGGCAGATGACCTAGGGGAGCTTTGGGAGAATTCCCTCTTCACAGACTGCTGCCTATTGGTAGGCGGACAAGAATTCAGGGTTCACAAGGCCATTCTAGGAGCTCGTTCTCCAGTTTTGAAAGCCATGTTTGAACATGAAATCGAGGAGAGTCTAAGGAACCACGTTGAGATCCATGACCTGGATTCCCAAGTCTTCAAGGAAATGATGGGCTTCATTTACACGGGGAAGGCTCCACACCTCCACAGCCACTCCATGGCCACTGATGTGCTGGCAGCTGCTGACAAGTATGGCCTGGAAGACTTGAAGGTCCTGTGTGAGGATGCCCTCTACAGGAGTCTCTCTGTGGAGAATGCTGCACAAACTCTCATCCTGGCTGACCTCCACAGTAGAGAGGAGCTGAAGAGTCAGGCTCTGTATTTCATTTCAGTTCATGCTTCTGAGGTCTCTCAGACCTCAGGGTGGAAGTCAATGGTGGAGTCACATCCCCACTTGGTGGCTGAAGCATTCCTCTCCCTAGCTTCTGCAAAGAGTGTTCTCTGGTCCCCCCCTCTCAAACAACTTAAGTGGTCTTTAAGACCTGTTCAGCAAAGACCTACATCTGTATTCCAACAGTAACAACCAATGTTGTTACCAACATCTTCTGACTAGACTACAGTATTGCTGGAGCATTTACAATGAATCTGAGAGAAGGCAACATGATAGCTCAGGATTTAAAACAGCTGTAATATGTTTAAAAGGCAGGCGGAGGGAGGGCAGCTCAGGAGTTTGAGACACTACCTGATGTCTATCCTGTTGATGTTCTTGTTTGGTTTTTGTCTGATGACTTGGAATCTCAGGTTCAATTTAGGTGCTGGCCCTAAGCACAGCCCAACTAAGTGTCTTCAGAAAAATATGTCTGCATTGAACTGAGCACAACAGATGAAAGGAGAAATCAAATATGAATGTTTACTCATCAATGAAGAAAAAGCCAATGAAGCCTTTCTTTTAAAGACTCAGTTTTTGGGAACTCAGCTGCAAAAGCAATTAGTGCTTACACGGAGAACTCTGTTTCAGTTCCTAGGGCACACAGGAGAGTTTTTAACCACCTGTATTGGTGATCCGGAGGATCTGAGGCCCTCTTCTGGTCTACATGGCCACAAACAGCTCTGTAGACAAAACCTGAACCTAATGAAATATAATATGAATAAAACTTTTAAAATACATCTGTGGATTCCAGAGATGTTTATGTTCAGAAAAGTCATGAGTAGTCCAATCAGCCAAGTTCAGCTGTGGATGTTTGTGCAGACCCCACCCTGTCCTAAAAGTATTAGAAACTCTTGGTTTCTTTCTTGGAATTTAATTTTAATAAATGAGAACTCCACAATCACACTCTTATGACAACTGAGAAGAATATGCCAAAGTGGAGGAAGTCTACACCTTCTAGGAGAGAAGTGTTTGTGGGTCAAGGCATGCAAAACTCTTTTATGTGTTTTGATATTAGTAGGGATTGGTTCATTATAGATTCACATTCCCTAGGCCAGTGGTTCTATAACTTCCTAATGTTGTGCCCCTTAATACAGTTCTCCATGTTGTGGCCAATGAACCATTAAATTACTTTGTGGCTACTTCATAACTGTAATGTTGCTACTGTTAGGAATCAGACAGTAAATAGCTGATATAGAGGATATCTGATATTCAATGCCTATGAAAGGGTCATTAGGCTGCCAAAGAGGATAGGGACCCACAGGATGAGAAGCATGGCTCCACAACATGCCTGCCAGCACACCAGGTAGACTGTTTACAGATCTTCTTTTCTGTTCTCGAAGACCCAATCCCACAATCTGTAGCATACCACCTGTGGGAGTCTTCACTGCCAATTCTTCCCATATTCTATGCTTCCCACAGATCTTCTCCTTCTAACCCCCCTCCCTGAACTCTTCACTCTGTCCTAGCATTCAAGCCAGCTTTGCACTCCCACTGTCACAAGTGCTACTCTTCCCATGGTATCAGAAGGCTAAAGGGATATCCAAACCTCTCTCTTTGCTCCACCACTTAAAATATCACCATTCTTATTCTCAGCTCTATAGTAGGAAATCTGCTATGCTTTTTCTTTCCTGTAAAGCACCAACCCCAGTGAATCACAAAGAACTTCTACCACAGTCTTCCTTCCCACAACTGAGCTTATCATTCAGCCTCCAAATCCATCCGGCATTCACTAAAAACACAGCAACAGAATAGGGCAGGGAAACAGTTATGGAAACTGAAGAATTCATCACTCCCTCCTCCATGCCAACTTAATTTCCCCAGTCTCATCTAGAGAGCTATATCATAACACCAGCTGTAGCCTTCCTTTCTGCCTGCCTACATGTCCTGTGAGTCCCACAGACAATTACTTTCTAAGTCCTTGTTGTTATTTTAGCACCTCTGCCCAGCATGCACTCACTGACCAATCCTGACAAAAAAGAATGGAAGCTGCCTCCTTCATTTATTGTAGATGTACACTTATCAGTATAATTCTTAAAACTATAGAACATCTTCTGGGGTAATCAGTTTTCTCCATCTGCCTCAATTCCAAAGAGACAAAATAAGCAGATTCTGTTGGAATGTCCTCCCTCCTTTGAACCCCTTTAGACTTTTAACACATCCCAATTTCTAAGTGTCACCTACCTATACGCAGAACCTTGAACAACCAGTGGCCAAAACCATTAGGTCCAAGGAAAAGTTCCAGCTTGACACCAGTTATGGCTGCTTTCAATTGTCAACTTGACTATATGTAGAATGAACTACAATCCAGAATTTGTAGAGATCTTATAAAAATGTAGAGAGGATTAAGACAAGACCTACTTGTACAGGCCTTTAATTCCAGCATTCAAGAAACAGAGGTATGTAGATCTCTGTGTTCAAGGTCAGTTTGCAGAACTAGTTCTAAGTCAGACAAGCCTAGGCAGTGAAAGATGTAATAAAACAAAGAGGGCATATTCCAGTCCCAGCAAACAGCAACATTGGGCAGCTTGGTTCATGTTGCTCTAGGTTAGAGTCACCTTTTGATCAAGATATAGAGCTGTTGGCTCATCCAGCATCAACCCTGACTACATGATTGTATGCTTCCCACCATGATGATAATGGACTGAACATCCAAAATGGAAAGCCAGCGCCAACTCAATGCGTGTCTTTATAAAAGGTGCTTGGTCATGATGTCTTTTCTTTTTTTTTTTTTATTTATTTTTTTTATTAATTTCTTTTTTTTTTTTGAACATGAAATGCTTTTTTATAGCATGTTTTACAAGGGGAGGGGGTAAGAGGGTCCAGGTGGTGGAAAAGTACAAAATCTTCTTTGCCTGTGCCTTGAAACATGTCATGGTCTATATGGTACACTGCCTTGAATTATGATCTACCTGCAGTTCTTCAGAAGATATGGTACACTGCTTGAGTTATGGTCTCCCTGCTATTCTTAAGAAGACATGGTACTCTGCTTTGAGTCTATCTGCAGTTGCTAAGCAGGATCTTGCAGTTGCCAAGCTTCAGAGGACATTGTGCAGGTGGGGAAAGGTAGGGGGTAAGGGTAAGGGCGAGGGTCCTGGCTTCTGGCATCTCCCCCTTCTCTGTTTAGTTAGAGAAGGCGTCTTATGTTCAATCCCAACTATGTGAGTTTTGAATTTGGATGTCTAATTATGGGGGGTCTTAGACAAGTTCACAACCCCAAAACACTGATGTGAGACGAGTCACATCGATGGTCGAAGGCTTTAGGCTGTCGACGATGGGCAACGTCAAGGGACTCTGATGTGGGTGAAAGGAGGGTGAGAGCCCTGTCTTAGGCCATGTAGGCTGCACCCACTCCCAGCACCACGCACTCCTTTTCGGCTGCATTGGGTGGGCCCCTGGGAAGTGGACCTACAATAATCCCGTCATTGGACTAACTCACAGCCATCCTAGTCTCTTGTAAATGTTCAAGTTACCAACCATTTGTCAGTTTGGGGTGTAATATTGTCATAAAGGAAGGCTCCCCAATGTTAGCGGCCATATCAAGGGTGGCCTTGGTTTAGGAAAAAGCCAATTTTTGTTGTGGTGATCAAGAGGCCAAGCTCTCTAGCGAGAGAAATGAGGGCAAAGCCAGGCATACCAGGAACCCTTCTGGAGGGCGTGGAAGTCTAGGGGTCGACCGTAGGGGGAGGCAGGGGAGCTGACAGCTGTGTCAGTCTCCTGCAGAGTCACTTCTGGATCCTCTGCAATTTTCAGCTGATGGTAATGAACTTCAACTGCCTTCTTGATGGCAGCATCAACCTGGTTCCGTGGATGACAGGTCACGGGCGATGATCTCTGTCTTGCTCAATCTTGATGTCGTGCGCACATCCTCTCAATGAGGTTCCGTCCGGATGGGTCCTTGCCTCGAGCCCCACGTCTGGGTGCCACTTGACCCGACCGGCAGGTCCTGGTTATTCGTGGGGCCGAGGAGGACTGCAACCTGCTATTCTTCAGAAGATATGGTACACTGCTTGAGTTATGGTCTCCCTGCTATTCTTCAGATGATATGGTACACTGCTTTGAGTCTGTCTGCAGTTTCCAAGCAGGATCTTGCAGTTGCCCAGCTTCAGGGGACCTTGTGCAGGTGGGAAAAGGTAGGGGGTGAGGGTAAGGGCGAGGCTCCTGGCTTCTGGTCCATCTGGGTTAGAACTTCTAATAGCAGGCATCACGGGTGATTCAATTTTACCTGGAAAGAAAAAAGAAGGGGATTCTCAGGGAGATTTCTCTTCCCTGGATGTAAAGTGTTATTCATCGTATTTATGATTGGGCCTGGCTTTGTGAGGGTATCTATTTTTTTCATTAATATTTGTGGTAGCCGGTTAGCTGTGCCTTCTGTGGTATTGGACAGGCATATCAGTCCTCGGCTCCATAAGGGAACTGGGACTGGGGCATTCCCTTTATGGGTATGAGGGTCCTTCCCCATATCTGTGGCAAAGTTTTGTTGGTCTTGGTGGTGCCCGAGGTCACCAACATGGTCAGCAAGAGATTTGCCATGAGCTTTCAGCTTTAGAGAGAGAAAAGTGAACAAGGCATGATGGAGAGTATTTCAGGGGGACTCCTTCTGAGGGGGTACCGTTCCCCCTCTTTTGTTTTTAAAGCCAATTTTTCAGAGTTCTTGTAAAATCAGGGCAGAAGCGCCAACAGTTGCTCCTTCCACACTCAGAGAGTCATGAAGGCCTTATTTAAGGATATATAAATCTATATTAATAATCTTTTGTCAAAGGACTTTTATAGCTCCACTGACAATTAATCAAGACTATATGATATATCGATTAGAAATAGCTTTTTCTACTTTTTGTGAGATTACCTCTCTTTTGTCAATTAACTGTTGAGGAAGTTAGGGTTTACCACTCTCTTGAGAATATTGAACAGAGATTTAAATTCTTTTGTGGAGAGCTTAAAATAGTATCTTAGCCAATTTGCATCTCCTAGAAACTTTTGAAATTAATTTAAAATAAACAGACTTCCTTTTTTTTAAATCCTTTATCTGTGTGGGGTTTTTATTGGGTATTGTACGTATTTACCTTTCAATGTTGTCTCCTTTCTCATTCTCCCCCCAAATCCCTTATCCCCTACCCCTTCCTCCTAATTTTTGTGATGGTGTGCTCCAAACA